AATGATTAAAGTATTTGAGTTCTGGTGATCGGTTTCAAGGGTTAGCATAATTTTTAACAGCCTAAAAACAGAAGAGATCAATTTGCTTAGCCAAAACTGCCCTCCAACCAACATTTTGCTCAAAGTTAGAAGCAAATGTTATCTTTGGGTTGGGGNCTTGTAAATAACTTCTCGAAATCTAAGTTAATACATTCTAAGTTAATACATTCTAAAGTAAACCAACCAGCAATTACAAAAGTCAGAAAATTATATTCTGTTTTATTTGAAAAGTTAATCAGGCGTGTGCCTTGGCACCAGAGATATGTTTTTTGGGCTCTTTCGTTCTGACATAGGACACAGTTTGTGTCGCAGTTAGGTCTGGATTTTAGAAGGAGTAACTTTTCCCATTTATTCATCTTTTGAGCTGTGCCATGATTAATTTATAGCCTCTCTTGAGTTTTAAACCCCATTAGCATTCCAACTCTCGAATCTTTTAATTTTAGAAAAAATGCGATTCTTTCTGATTATCGAGAGCTTGGAAACATATGGATAAAATTACAGGGAACTCTCCAGGTTCAAGGAATCATTCGTTTGAGGGGTTGGACAATTCTACTGTACACTCAGAGTCTTATACTAAAGATACAGCAGCATAATAAGTAATGACTTAATACATATGATGTAGTTCTACTGCATTTCCCTCCCCAACAGATTTTCGGGGGCTGCTCCCTGTCCGAAATACGACACCCGTCGTGGAGTATTGCTATCTCTTCATGATGGTGTTCTCCCTTATCTTAGGATTCTAGTTTTTCTTACCACAATCTATTAATCGTCGAAACGCTATATGGTGGTTGAAAATCAATGGGAGAGGATGTTGTCGTCTCGTTAGGTATGTAGATTGGTATCCTCAAATCTTTCTTTAGAGTGGCAGTGCGCTTATGGACATTTAGCTACTCTACCTAAACGAGCAAACCAAAAAATTAGCTCATGAGTTCATGAGCCGAACCTAATTCGAATTAAGGCTGAACCAAATCAGTTTAGACCAGCTGAACTGATTCAGACGCCGATCTTAATTGCAGCTGAACTAAGTTCAAAAGGTGAAAAATGCTCATTTCGGTCGAACTGCTTACAAAATACGTTATAATAATTTATGTATTAGGTTCGGTACATGAAAAGCTCCGTGTCTGAATCAAAGCCGTTCCAAAGTGGCTTCAAAGGCGAAATTCTCGGCCAGGCTAGGCGAAAAGAACGGCTGAGCCGTTCCAAATTGAAACAGGCGTTCCTAATTGACCTAATTGATTCAGACGCCGAACGTTTCTTGTACTTAATTCAATGTATTAGGTTCGGCTCATGAAAAGTTAGGCGCCTGAACCGTGCCTTTCAAAAACATCACAGTTGCTGTTTACGGTTAAGTCTTTTTTATGCCTGATCGGCTTCTAAATTTCAGCGAACCGCCGTAAGCACCGGTTTCGTACAGAAATGCCTTTGGAACCTTTGCACTCTCATCTTCGCAAAAGTAAACGGAAACTTTGCATCTGATGCTGAACGTTATGCCGCCGTGAAGAGTATTCTAAGAGCTAATCTTCAAGAACACAACCTAAAACGAAGACCTAATGATTCCATACTCAAGTAGATTAAGGCCTGGGTCATTACAGAGTTTTCAGAAGTTTTAAAGGGGGGTGGTATAACGTAAGGTATTTTCAAGATATCCCATGACTAACAATTTAAGGCCAATCACAACCTAGAAATGTTCCAATTTCATTTTAAAAATATTTATAACTACATCACGTGAGCAGCCACGCCCTGTTTTATTGAGAAATCCTTTGAGTCGAAATTCCCAACAGAAAGAGAGTAAACCGTTTTCCCTCAGTAGGTCCAAAAAGTGGCTACTAATAGTTTTCATGTAAAAACAATCGGAATGAGGAGAGGTCAATAAACGTCTTTCCCCTGTCGATAATTTTATTTGGAGGAGGACTGGCACTAGTCAGTGAACACCAATTGCAACTGCCAATTGTAATGCTTCGAACCATTCCGAGCTGATTTCGTAGGCACTTTGTAGGGACAATGTTTTGATACAGAGAAACTGGAGCTATACTCGTTTGGTAAGTGGTGGGAATCGTTGGTTACAATTTTCGAACAATGGAGGGCGTGGTCGATCACGCGACCAAATAATTTAAATATCTTTTTTCAAGTTTTTTAAGTTTAGTTTTCATTACCATATATCGTCCCTCGTGGATGTCTTTAACCATAGGTTTTAGAAACTGTACATAAAAATCATAAATGACTTAGAGCCAGGCTTTAATCTAGCTGAGTAATTGAAGCCCAGCTTGAACAGACAAATTAACTCCTACGTTGCGAAACTTTTCCCATCGAGAATTATCTGAGGATATGACATGTGCGATTATATGTAGTGGACGGTATTTTCTTACCCTGATGATGCCCTGTAGAGTCGAATACGTTCGGGTTTTTCTTTTTTAAATATATAAGTTTTAGCCTTGTCAGTAGTTCATTCTTTAAGCCTAAGCGGATTTCCAGGACAAAATAACATTCCAGTAATATTTCTGACGTTCACGGTTTTGTGAGTTTTAAAATAAAACCTTGATCCACGCCCAAATTGGTATTGTGCTTCACATTTTAGGGTTCAATTCTAATTTTCTGTCGAGCACGGCCCATCTCTACGCTTTCAGCTATTTGAGTCCAAGGGAGGCAAAGGGAAAATCATTTTGGGGATTTAGAAGCTTTTTGACTTATTAACAACTTATTCAGCTTCTTAGTAAGCCACATTTTATTACAAAGGTTAATTCCATTCAGCCTCTGTTTACTCTGGCATATCCTTGTGTTTTTACTAGCAGTCCTTTTATAGATATGTCATTTTACTGCCAGACCCTCTTACGTTAAGTTTTTTTCTTGCAAATAAAGGGCTATCCTGGGATAACTTTATTTTAATTGAGAGGAGGAAAACGCTGAATTCTAGCATTCTAGTAATTCTTGCTGATCTAAGGGATCGAGTAAACTCAGATAGCGCTATCTTGAAAATGGCAGGATATGCAGAGACAACCACACAGTCACGTAGCCTCTCTTGTTGGTACTTGAATCACCATGACAACAGGGGTTGATCTTTAAGGAAAGACATCATCTGTTCTGTTGATGGGATTCTGACCATTCATATTGGAGAAACGGTGTGGCGTGATACCTTTTAAGAACAAGGCAACACTGCACTTGTGGAAACAGGTTTCACTTTTGCTTTTAGTTTTGCTTGGTGCAGCTACGTGAGCTGAACACAGGATCAAGACTGCCAAGGTATATTTACTTATTCTTAACCAAGGAGAGACTTCTTTTTGGTTAATGGCTTCCTCGTTTAACATCAGGAAACTATTGCTTATTGGGTAGCCATTCGCTCAAGAAAGTTCAGGGGAAGAGCAAAAATAATTCACAGATCTGAGCTTCTGTGTGGGTACCCACGGACATGGGTTTCGACGGGCGTTTTCCATCAAATCGTTGGTTTTTCTGGCGAAATCGTCGCATATCAAGAATTGCATGCTTTGCGCAATGTAACGCTGCTAACGAACTCCATTCAACCACTACGACTAGGGAAACGAGCAAATAAGCGGAAAAAAAAAAAACATCTAAACGTGCAGCGCACTTTTTGCAAGTTTTGTTGCCGTCATTCCATGCACAATAAATGTTGTCAAACTTAATTGAAATGGTAATGCGATCGTCGCTTTAATCTCTAAGATGGTCTCTTCATCAATGGTGATCGTCGCGACTTCAATTTCGTCGGAAATACCCATACAGAGGCTCACATCTACAGTTTTCTAGAGATTTTTACTTTCAGTCTGTGCGTGTTACTGCAATGCAAATGCTTGCTATTGTATGTAGCAAAGATTACTTGCATGTGGTAATAACAGTCAAAGTAGCCAATTTAGTAATCAAAGTTTTAGGACGAATACTTGCGCATTATTGTTACGACACACTGAGTGACTCCAGATTACGTGCACTGTTTCTGTTCCCTAAAAACTGAAATTTGAATTGCGTGTTTAAATAAGGTGCTAAGTATTTAAGCTGATTTAAAATTCTTTTTGACACTCCCCCGTGCTTCGTATTACGCATGTGCACAGCAATATCCCTTTTGAAGGATTATTCACCAAGGGTTAAAAGTTCATGTTATTATTTCAACCTGTTTCAAGTTTGTTTTGTTCAAGTTAAGTAAATATTTTCGGACCACAAAACTGATAGGTGATTGCAATGAACACTTAGCAACAATAACTGATGTTTGTGGAGATAAGGTGGGGGGGGGGGGGGGGCGGAGGGGAG